GCTTGTCTAATGAGGGAGTCTCAAGTCACACATTAATAACTGCTTTTCTTATTATTTTCTTGGGAAGAGAGCGGATTCAATCATAACTTACTTATGCTGACTGTTGATGACAGTTGTGAGCTGTTGTGAACTGCCAACTGCAGGGCTGCTTGTATTGTCCTACACTGTAACTGGGGAGTTTTTTAAGTGCTCTCTCCTGTATATACTCTTTGCTGTGAGAATAGTGTGGGCAACACTGCAGCTTGTCTCCCATGTAAGACAAATAATGACTTTCTCTTCTCCCAGGACACGTAGTTTAGCAAACGTTGGGGCATTGTAAGACCCCTTTGATATTTCTGCCACCCTGTCAAATAGGGCTGTACAAATACGGCCAGTGTCTTTCACAGTTACTAGTAAGGAACCCTTGCTCCAATATGGTCACGTACTCCTCCTTTCCTTAGGAAGTCAGTCTAAGAAAACAATTAGACCTCCAGCAGACGGAAAGGCCACGGTGTAGTACTCTGCTTGTACACAGGGAACAGACTAATTGAAGGGAGATAAGCACCAGTTACTTGCTTTTGAAGTAAGAGTTGCACTTTTGGAAGTCAGGAGAAGGAGATTAACAGCTCTGAAAATATGGTAAAAGCATGAGTTGGCAGAACAGGGAGATGGTTTTGGTTTTTTCAGTGATCATTCTCAAATCTTTACTTGAACTCCATACCCTCCTCGCCCACCCACTGGAAAGTGGTTGCACAAACTATGTAGAATAGCTCTAAACAAAGTTTATTGGTATCAAACATGAAAGATAAGATCCCAAAAGAAGTGTTTGTGCCACATTTTGATTAAACAATGATTAATCTACAGTGTAAATGCTGCAAATGAGACATAGGTTCTCATCTAGCAGAAGTGACTTATAGCTCTAATTTAGGTAAGTGATAGCCAATTTTCTAAGGTCCTAAGTAATGATCATTGTTCGTGTGTTTCCCAGTTGCCTTGTTCCTAGCCTTCCACATTTGTGCCAATAGTTATCTACATATCTAGACGTTTTAAAATACTAGGAACAGAGATTGATGACTTTATTTACCCTTTACTGTAAATACATCTTTTTTCACTTCTTAGTAGCAAAGGAATCCACACTGTCTGTAATAAAAGCTAATTCTGCTCATCTGTTCCTCCCATTAAAACTACCAAAGCATTACAATTCTGATTTGAGAACAAATGAAATCACAGATCTTTCTGTCACATCTGAGGAGATAGACTTGCAGATCTGACTGTAGACCTCTTGGAGTCAGTGGTGTTTTATGCAGGTACAGGGATCCTCTGTGAAGGCCCAACAGCACTAAATTAGATCTGTCTCCTCTTTCAGTAAACCTGTGTGCTGCTTGCTTTGTGAAAGAGCTGCTGTATATAAAAAAGGCAAGCTAAAACTGCGTACATGTAGCTGAGCACAGAAACAAGGTTAAAACCGCTGTTTAAAGCTGGGCTTAAGTGAAGACTCCAGCATTTCAATTTTGGCTCTCTCCATGGTTCACCAGATCACCTGGGTCAAGTACTGAACTCTTCCAAGGCCTCTTTTTTCACCTACACATGGTGCAAAGGGGGCACTGGCAGATTTATCCTGCCCAGGATGTGTCCCTGAAGCAGACTGCTGCTGCCAGTTTCCCCTCCTTTCTCCTGAAGGTTAACATCCCTGGGACATCCTTGTGTCCCCGCATCCGCTATTGTCATTCACAGGCAAACAGATCAGCTTAAACTCTTTGTAAGGGCAGCTGACATTACAGGGGGGCAAGGCCACCCTTCTGCTGGAGCAGGAATAACAAGAAATGCCTGAAAGCATTGGAATTGCTTATTCAATGAACACGTAATAGAGCCTAGATGCTCACCTCTGAAAGCAGCTGTCATGTTCAGTGTCCTATGAAGAGTGGCATGAATGTGCTCTTCTGCAAAATACTGTCACTTTTTTATAGTTTGTTTTCCTTTTTATGACTTTTTATACTGTGGTTTCATGACTGGCTGCGGTATCTGAAAAATTTGTAGTGAGATCCTAGTGTGAGGTCTGTCTGAAAAAGGCCACAATTGAAACAGGACATCTCTTTCTGAGTCCTGTGAAGTGAGCAGGAAGTGTTTTCACAGTGGAAGGTTCTCATTTGAAATCTTGCGATAAAAGGGAGAACCACTGAAGTCGCCTTGCATGCCCTGAACTCAGGCTGTGGTTTCAGCGAGGCAGACTGGGAACGCTAACACCTGGCAAGTTAACTTACCGTTGGCCTATGAGACATATCCTCGTCATATCTAACCTGCTAACTTGTCCAAGCATTATTTCTAAAAAGATTGAGAGGCATTCAACTGAAATCAGTGTAAATCACCTGAATGCAACGCCTTGAGCTGCATCCCAAATTTACCATGTCAGATTACAGTGTAAAACTGTTGTTTGAGCTAGTTAGAGGACTATTACAGTTTAACTAAATTGTTACTTTTTTCAGCATAGAGCTCTTGGCCAGCACTGCCATCCAACAACAGGGAAGCTGGCAGTGTGCTTAATAGCTGTGTTTATCAGTCAGAACACCAAGATGAAAGCACTAGGGTGAGGACTGGGAGATCCGGATTCTCTTTCCAGCTTCATGTGATTCCACAAGCTTCTCATGTGATTTACAGCTGCCAGGAATGTGGTGCCAGACAAGCTCTTCCAGCTGCAGCTTTTTTAACCTTAACATATTACAGCTTCTGGTTCTTCTTCACATCCACTGGTGGAAATGACCTGAGGGAGGAGATGACAGCCCTGTCAGATCTGCTGGTGTCTTTCCAGCTGTACCTGTTTCCTATCCTGCTTATATTTTCAGAGTGAGGTGGTGAGCAGCTAGGCACAGTATCTTTTTAACCCTGACCGGCTGTAGCGGTTCTTGACTATACCCTTAAACTGGTGATGAATGCAGGTATGGCAAAAATGGGTCACAAAAAAATTAATAAATAGGAAACCATAAATAGGTACAGTGCCATAAATCTTTCTGTGGGAAAGCTTTGGAAAAAGAGCAAGTGTTCCTCATGTCCAAATAAGCTACTGTCCTTTATTTCAAAGAGCTCGATCTACAGTTGAAAGCAATGAAGTGCTATTTCAGCGAATTATTTTTGGCAGAGCAAAGGTTTAGGCATTGATTCATGTTGAACCTCAAGAAAACTGTGTTTTGATTTCAGAGAGCTACAGCAAACTGCCCATCCAGCTTTGCTCCTAGGTGTGCACTGGCAATCACTCCTGCTCCAGGGTGTAAGACTGGGGCACAGGCATAAATCTCAGTTTCCACAAGTGACTGACATTTCCACAAGTCTTGAACACCTGCAGGAGCCGGCCGTGCACAGTGGGCCGAGTACCACTTGTATCACAGTTGGGCTTTGTTGTAGGATTGATACTCAACAACACCAGGCAAAAACACAGATCCTCAGGTCACAGACCTTTTCTTCTTGCATTGACAGGCTCAGGTCCTTGCTATTTCTCTACTTAGGACACGAAAGTTTGAAATAAAACCGGAATCTCAATAGGGGGAATGTGAAAGAAGTGGTACGTTGTATTTTTTTTTTTTTCTCCGAGAGCTGTGGGGAAAACTGAAAATCTCTGTGTGGGGGAGGGAGGGGAGATTTAAAAGAAACCTTTAAAATGAAGTAGGATTTCTTAGAATTAACAGTGAAGC